TTTCTCAACCTTGGCGACTTTAAGATATGTGGACTTCAACTCCCAGAATTCCCCAGCCAGGGTTGAGAAACACTGCACTAGAGCCTTTTGTATCAACATATAAAAAGGCATCAGTGTTGCAGCCCTCAGGCTAATAAACTAGTCCTCATGTAACAGTCATCACGGTTTGAGCTGAAGATTCTCAGCATAGATTATGCAGAATTTGTACACCCAAATTCTGATTCAGCTCAAATAGTTTATGACACAAAACACACTTTTTGCAGTCAGAATTAGGAGTCTTACCATTTTGTGCATCCAAGTTAAACACAGTGGCATTTTAATTTTACTTCTTTTCTTTCCCCCTTCTCTACAGAATTGGTCGACAAGAGGGTATTTCTGACCCTAGGACCAAAAGTTTTCTCTATATTCTAGATATTCTTCCAAAGTAAGTACTCACATTAACTCTTCTTTAACATTTTCTGATACCATTATCCCTAGATTTTAAAGACTATGTCTCTTTCCACAATGAGTTGTAGATTTGTACAATCTTATGGATCAGGCAGTTCATACACTTACATTGTTACAGATTTACCTAAGAGAAATGTTAAAAAGAATTGAAAATTTGCATTTCTGGTGAGATGCTGAACATATGACAACATGGATACATACAACCACCATGTTTTGGGAACTACAGCCTTGCAATAAGCCTGTGCAGGTGCAGCCTTCGTCTCTTCTTCTCTTCCTATTTGAAAATAGCATATTTATATGAATTTGAGTTGATTTGCCAATACAGCGTTTAAATCATATATTTATCTGGTCTTTTTTAGTACCTACGAGCAAGATCTGTATAGACTGGAAAGAGTTGTTCTCTTTCACAACCTATTGTATTTCTATTATACGTTCAATATATTGTTATAATAAATTATCAAATATAGCATATTGGTAATTAGATATTAGATATTATATTTCATCAATATCAAATATAATATACTTGAGAGTCAGCATGATGTAGAGGTTAAGTGTTGGATTGTCCGGGTTCTAGTATGACCCAGTTCTAGTCACCTGAAGCCACAGAAACTCACTGGGTGACTTACAGCCAGTCGCTCTTCCCCAGTCCAACCTACCACTCAGGATATTTTTTATTAATTTCAACTATATTTCCTTGCTTTCAAGGAAATCACTTCATTGAAAGTTTTTTTTTTAATTAAAAAAATATCAAACACGATCACAGCTCTATTCTACAAATGAAATGACTACATTAAAGCATTTCACATCCTGCCTATTTAATTATATGTTCCTTTCTCACAAACTCAGATGTATGATTCAGGACATGGCAAAATAAACTTTCTTTTTTATTTCTGTATCCTTGGAATGGTCTAGCATGAGTGGATGACGTTATCTGGAAATTTTAAAAAATGCATTTAATCTTTCTTGACCATATGTCTCAGTGAAACAGCAGTTCTAGTTTTAAGGCTGTTAAATTCTGAGGCTCTTTAATTGGGCTTCTCCAACTCTTCTCTCCTAGTGAGATAAAGGTTAATACTTTTCTGATTCATCTCCTTAAGCTGTTGCCAGTAAGATTTCTTTCTGTTTTTTAATGGAAATAATGACATGTAGTGTGGGGGTAAGGTAAAAAGTAACTAAGCCTGATGATTATTCTGATCCTGTTGTCCGTACTTTATAACTATAGCTTAAACAAATTGTTTTGCAGGCTTACAAGGCTGCCAAAATACTTACTTTTAGAAAATGTCAAAGGTTTTGAAACATCTTCTGCCAGGTATGATGGAATGAAACATTAATGCCCATTTCTAATTTGTTGGCAGGACAGTAAGGAATTAATAAAATTACACAAGGGGTATTTTCAGGTTGGAAAAAAATATAACATTTCCAACACTTGGAACATGGAGATTAACATATAATGCATTATTGTATTTTTTAAAACAATAATAGAAAATCATAATTCATGTAATTGCAGGATTAAACTGTTTTTGAGATGAACTTTAGTGATAGCGAAGCTATATTTTAAGTTTAGAATTAAAATTACCATTGGAAAATTTGAGGGCATCCTAGCTTTTTATTTTAAAACTAGTCACTAAGAAGAACAAGGGATCTTATGTTTAAAATAAAACCCTAAATTCTGGTTAGCAGTGTAAGGAAAAGGTGCAGGAATTCCATCTTTTCCTTGTTCTCCTTTTCTACAAGTATTGAGATGAAGCACTTTATTTCAGGATAAATAGAATGGGCAACTAATTTTCATGAAGGTCATAAATTTCCAAGCCCAGGTAACTAAGCTGGATTCACACCTCATGTTTTTCTTTGGCTTAGTACTATTTGGGATCTCAATCACTGTGGTTCATGACTATGTTTTATGAACTCAGATAACCGTGTCTTATTGTAGAAGCCATAATTAATCATAGTACCTGAACCCAATCAGTACAACAGTAGTAAAAGGATTGTATTTAGGCAACTTCAGACATTTATTCATAGCAGTGGAATTCATGGTTTTGTTTTATTTTCATACTGCCAGAGATGAACTTATACGAACACTAGAAAAATGTGGATTTACATATCAAGAATTTCTGTTGTCTCCAACTTGTGTGAGTAATGGCATTGTTAAAATTAGTTTAGCTCAAAATTTTCCTGTAGATTCATTCAGTTTTGAGAGAGTGTGCTGACCTTTATATATTGTTTCTCAGACCAAAATTATTCCTATCAT